TATATATATATATATATATATATATATATATATATATATATATATATTAAAAAATTCTGTATGCCTTTTTATAACTATTGTAGGGCTGTTGTAAATAGGGATGGGGTTGATACGATCCAGTATCTGTATCGGGCTCCGATACCAGCATAAATTGCGTATCGGATTTTTCTGATCCAACCTGCCGATATTCTGATCCATGATGCATGTTGGCTTCAAACTATGGAATGGATTTCCTGAACGGAGGCGTGTCTCATGAACCCAGAGTAATAAGACCCGCCTCACATTCAGGAAATCCATTTCATAGTTTGCAGCCAGCTACAACGTGAGGGCTGAGTTAACAGCACTGTGGCTAACAGCTAACAAACTTTTCATCTAAACATGTCGCTGTGTGGAAGTATTTTACACTAGAAACACCACAAAACAAGACAGCAATGTGTAATGTCTGCAGGTCCATAGCACCACATTAAACCGTGGTAAAGTTAGTTTTACGTTGGACATTCAAGCTCCGTGGCTTCAGCGGGGCGCTACTTCCGCTGAACCTGAAACAGGCAACTCGACCCTGGCCAGCCGCGTCCAATCTGCCCCGTTAAATCTGCCCGTCTCTGAGGAGGGACAGACTGAGCGCGGCTGACCGAAATCAGGCTGCCTGCTTCGGATTGAACAAGAATAAGACATTGCTGAAGCCCCGGAGCTCGAATGTTCACCGAGAAGTTGCTAAACTTCATCATAATTAATGACCAACCACTATCAGTTGTGGTAGGTTAGAAAACAAAGGATTTCGCAGCTTGATACTTCAGCCAAGATATAGTTTACTCTCCAGGAGATATTTATCAGTACAACAGTAGACAATCATAAAAAATTAAAAATTAAAAATTAAAAAATAAATAAATATATATATATATATATATATATATATATATATATATATATATATAAAAAAAAGGAAACAAAAACAGCTACATTATAAAGTGATGTAAAATACTAAAAACGGGAACATGTCTGCATTAGTCCTTGCTAGGAGTCCAACATATTCTTGACAGCACTCTCTCTTTTCACTCTCACATCAGTAATATTTTTTCATTCATTCAACCTTTATTTAGACAGGTCAATCCCATTTACATGGTCTGCATACTTCCACCTTCGATACATCAACTGTCTCCGTCCATCCCTCTCCTCGCACTCTGTTTCCATTTTGGTCCATAGCTTGGTCATTTCTCGAATTGATTACTGCAACTCTATTCTTTTTGGTCTGCTGCACAAATTACTCCGTAAGTTTCAAATGGTTCAAAATTCAGCTGCCCGCATTGTTACCATAACCCCCTCATTTCACCACATTACCCCAGTTTTATAGCAACTTCACTGGCTTCCAGTCACTTTCAGAATTCAATATAAATCCTGTTGTACACATTCAAGGCCATCCATAACCTCGCCCCTCCCTATCTGTCCAATCTCCTGCACATTATCACCCATTCACGCTCCCATCGTTCTTCCTCTTCCATCCACCTCAACGTGCCTCTCATCCGCCTCAGCACCATGGGACACAGCCTTTCCTCACTCTGCTCCCCAACTCTGGAACGCTCTTCCCCCAGACATCCGTAATATTGACTCCTTTCTGACCTTCAAATCACAACTAAAAACTCATCTGTTCAAGTTAAGTCCCCATTATACTCCCGCGCACGTCCGTTTGTGCTGAGGGTACGCGCGTACGTACGTAGAGGGTTGAGACTTCATACGCGAGCGTCCACTCTGAGCGACTGCAGAGCAGCTCCAAAAAAAGGAGCGTTTACCTTCGGGACAAATTGAGGTCGCCGATTGGTCATTTGCTGACACGCCTATTGGTTGATTGACAGGTCAAAACAAAAAAAACGAGAGCTGGCAGCCCCAGCCGCAGCGGTGTTCTGTGTTTTCTATGTTGTTAATAAAAAGTTATAAAAATTTTTTAAAAAATCATGGAGTGCTGGCCCTGCAGCCCACACATCAAATCAGCCCAACAGGAAATCTCCAGACTCTCCCGCAGCCATACTTGACCTGATTTTAATTTGCTTGTGACAATTCCTTCATTTCTCACAATTTCAGTCATGGCATCAACAGTGGAGGAAGAGATCTCTTACCTTTTGGCAAAAAAACAAAATAAAAGGCCAGATCAGGGATGAAGAAGGGGGATTTAATACATTAGTGTCGCATACAAAACAGTCCGTCGCTGGGCAGTTTATTGTGCGACACCGCATACACAGTCGTAAAAATTGAGCTTTGCGCGGACATGCCCTGCGTACCTCTGCGCGTACCTCTGCTTACGGACGTACGCAGGAGTATACTGGGGGATTTAGCCATCTCATTTTATTTTTTTGTTATTTTCTTCTTGATTTAGTGTTTTTATAGCCATTTTATATTGTTTTATTTTGTGCTTTTAATGTTGTGAAGTGTCCTTGAGTGTCTTGAAAGGTGCTAACAAATAAAATGCATTATTAAATAATTGGCTAAAATTGAATAGTTTTCATTTAATACTATTTCTGTCTCCGGACCCAGCGCCAGAGGGTAGGCCGGCAGTGCCGGGCCCGCCCATTCTGGTATTCTCCCCCCCAAGACAGATTACAACACCGTGTAAATAAGTTGAACCTATGCAATGTATTGACTCAAGACAACAAGCAGAGGGTGCTGTAGGTGATTAAACTGGAATTTTAGAGGCGGTAAAGAAGACGAGCTAGTTTTCCAACCTTCTAAAAATATCACAAGAAGAAGGACAAGGTGAAAAAGACACTTTGCACATCAGGTTTGTTCACAAAATGGAAATGTTAAATTTTTTTTTTTCTTAACATTTTCACTTCTCCAGGAGAAGTTCATGTACAGTTGCCTTAAAGTTTTTGGTGTTAATGTGTTTCAAACACAAAGATTAAGTCAGTTATAGTTTATAAGATTTATGCAAAAATTGTTTATACAAACTTGAGCACAATTTCTCAGCATTTTCGGGTGACTACATGTCACTGTTGAAGTTATTTGTTTTGTATTAATAAACAACATATGGCTATTTCAGTTGCAAGGTTACGTAAATGTTTTTTATGTATTTATATATAATAAAATAACTATTTACTGGGCCAACAAAGTCCATGCTCAATAATTCAGGTATACAATCCAACATTGTTCAGTCAGGTCATCTGGACAGTTTCTTTTTTTTTCTGCTGAAACGTTTTGCCTTCGGTCCGGAAGGCGTCATCAGTCAAGACTGTCTTATCACAAGCAGACCTGGTTTGTTCCACTTTGGAGTAAGCTGTTGGGAGAAGAATCAGTTTTGCTGCGTGTTTCCTTGACTGATGAAGCCTTCCGGATCGAAGGCGAAACGTTTCAGCACAAAAAAAGAAACTGTTCAGATGACCTGACAGAACAATGTTGGATATTTACTGGGCCCTCCCAAAATATTACTACCCCACCCCCCACCCCCCAGCTAAACTCTTCTGGAGCCAGGTCTGTCTATCTTAACATGTGATTCTTGACCTGCCATTGTCTATCTGTTCTTGCCAAACCCAGCTGGTCGAAGCAGATGCCGCTTGTCCTGAGCCTGGTTCTGCTAAAGGTTCCTTCCTCATGAGGGAGGTTTTCCTTTCCACTGTCGTCTTCCTTCTTGCTCAAGATGAGAATTCTGTGATGGAGTTAAACTCGAAGCGATCTGCTCCTCAGATAAATAGTATTAAATTACCAGTATTATTTTTATGAATGTTTCTGTTAACTTACTATTTTTATATATGAATGTTTATGTTCATTGTTCTGAGATGACTTCTATTGTGACTTGCACTATATAAATAAACTGAATTGAATTGAATTGAACAGCATACACCTGTCTTTGAACCAACGCCTCCCACCCCTCATCTCTACCCCCTCCTCCCCAACATACTGTTTGTACTCTTATAAAAATGACAAAATTACTGACTTACTCTTATATATAATTTCTTTGAATATAATAGTAATTTTAAGGGACTTGGGAAATCTTTAGGTGTAGAAAAAAATGTCAGTTAAAATATTTTTCTGCTTTAATCTCTGAATGAAAAAAGTGATCAAATTTCAGACAGTGAGGCAACTAATTATAATATCAAAAAGGGAGAAAACTTTTGCTAGGCACTGTAGAGATACCAGTGTGTGTGTGTGTGTGTGTGTGTGTGTGTGTGTGTGTGTGTGTGTGTG